AATATGTTCTTGGCTAGTTTAACCTTCGAGTTCTTTCTAATCACCGGACAAACCAGTTGGTCTTCGATATATTTATGACAGCCGCAGGGTACCCGCAAGCCCCTGAAATTTGAAGCCAACTCTGAAATCAGCTCGTGTCAAGCTAAATATGAAATTTATGCAGATCCCAGCCGCTGAATTTCTTTTATTGCAATGATTAATACCCGCACCGAAGACGAAGACAGCGCCTTCGGCTTGAACTTGACTCGCGTGCCTTTTGGTTATGCAATTGTTTTTTTTTTTTATTCTTATTATGTTTTGTTCTTTATCTAACGTAAGAACAGGTTCAATCGGCGAGACATTATGGCGACTCACAAGAAACACATAATCAACGAAAATTATAAATTCTAATTTCAAGCAATTTTTCAGTTTTTTATTCTGCTGCCAAGCAGCCACACGAGTGCAAAGGGCTTGGATGTTTTGTTGTTGCGAATTTCAGCCATGTGGATGATGCATAAATAGTTTCTTATTAAAATAGCAAATTCATACATACATACATACATATATATCTATACAATCGAGTATAGCTACCATAGCTGCGAAGAAGACAAGTTTATCCAGAATTTGAAAGACGTGCTCCCTGGCCATGCCTTGGCCGTATAACATCCCATTAATCACCGCATATGCAAATCAACTGAAAATGTTGTCTTGCGAAGATTATGCCGCAAAATTCACCAGCTCTATCTGTCGCGATGGTAATCTTTATATATAGACTGTCAATGTATTATTAGACTCTGTTTTGTAAGTCAAATAATTTCGAATTACATAATTATACAGACTCGTGTAATGTAAATTTAAAATACATATTTTACGAAATTTCAGATCTGAGATGTGGAACCTTAAAGTATTTTGATATGTGAAGCATATTGCATAATGCGAGTGAGCTCAAGGCCGGAACTTACTACACGTATATGGTTTGATTTTTTGGGAATTTCCAAAGAGTCTGCAGCTCTGGGATTTACCCTAGTTGCGGCCTTGGGTTCTATCGAATTCCCCAATTTGCTGCAATAAATTCGCCAGTTTTATGTGGCACATTAACTAACTATAATTATTAAAAACTAACCCAAGCTTAAAGGTCGTTAGGTCAAGTGTATTTAGCGCAGAAATCTTTTCTCTGCATACTTTGAGGCGCCATTGAAAATGCTTGAGGAAAATGAAGTGTGAAAATTTTGTGACCAGAAATCAAAGTTTGTTTGATCTTTGCTGCACAAGGTGAAGCATTGAAGGCACAAAAGAATCTAATCTAGATGTATATAATTCGATCAACTTGAGTTGCTCAGGCTAGAACAAGTTTTTTGTTTATACTATTTATGTAAATAATCAAACCCAATTAAAAACGATTCAAATTGATTATGAGGAAATGAAATTGTAATAAAAAATGAACAAAAATTTATATATATTGATTTTTGTTGTTATTTTGTTGCTCCATTTTGATTTTCATTGAATATTTGTCGAGGCAATCATAAAATTCAATTAGAGCCCAAAAAGAATGGAATAACGATAAGAAACGGTAATAAATGATCTTTAATCTTGAGCCGACCCCAAAGCACGGCCCTGCGCCAAAATCTCCGATAATCTAAACCATATCGAATGCTGAGCTGCTGAACACACACGAAGAGTCAAAGAGACACTGAGCGCTTGTGGTCAAGATCAAGGCCAAAAGCAGAACCGGCTTAAATGCTACTGTTAGCAAGTTGTTAAGATGCGGCTGCTGCTGTTGTTATTGTTGTTGTTGTTGTTGGGTGCTCTTCAATGTTGCTGTTTAGCTTCCGGTTTGGGTATTAAGGTTCCGTTTCGTTTAGACAGATTGATCGATAAAAGGTTGTGAGAAAAGCTCAGGGCTCTTGCGCATCACAACAGCATACAGATATATGTATGTGCATATGTGTGTGCATACATACATACATATATCTATTGTATACATCTCCAACTGAACAGCTGTCATCTTCAAGGTGAGCCAGAAACGGTTCGTTCTAGCATAACAATACCAATATCTGTTCTGCAATTATAATTAAATTCATGAGCTCGCCCAATCTGCATGGCCAGGCACTAATCAGCCGCCTGGACCTGTTCTGCCACTCCCCAAACAGCCGACAGCAAACACCAAACGCATACACTCTCATTAGGGGCAAATCTTTTGTTCGGTTCATAATCTGAATCTGAATCTGAATGCTTCCGCCCGTCCATCCATATCCGTATGATTAGATCGAAATTGCAATTCATGGAACACCAGAAATCTATTTTAGTTTTCTTTTGTTTTGTTTTTTTTTTTAGAAAAATTATTTTTTATTTGTATTTGTGGTATCTTTTCGTTTAAGCCTAAGTACTTTACATGCCAATAATTCATATATATGTATGTATATCATCTAACATATTTGCTTATGCCAAATGCGATTCTTAACTTATTTACACAACTAATTCCGTTTTATTTTGTTTTTGTTCTTGTTTTTTTTTTTTTTTACTTAACTTAAATCGGTTTCTTACTCTTCATCTTCTACTTCTTCTCTTACTCTTCCTCTTCCTCTGCTTCTGCTGCTGCTTCTGCTTCAGGCTGAGCTTCTTGAAGCTTTTTTTTTGTTTTTTGGGCCGTAAACATACAACTTCTTTCATTTCTGTCGTCTGAAGAGGCGCGAGCGAGGGGAAGTACACAAACACACATCAAACGAAGCGATGGCTGCGAAAAGCATTTAAATGTTTGCCTATTAACTCAAACCTAAAATTTCTCAATATTTTCATTTGTCTTTCGGTTCAGTTTTTTTTTTCAAATTTTTTTTTTCTTCTTCTTTTTTTTTTGGCGGCGGCTTACTTAACAAATTAGTCAACAAAGTTGTGCATAGAACAACGCCCGCTCCATAGACTTAGAGTTCCCAAATATATAACTAAAAAAAAATGTATTCTATGTGAATTCCATTAAGTATATCTGTGTGTGCATGTGTGTGCGTGTGTGTGTGTGTGTGTGTTGGAGGGGCTCGAGATTATTGAGTTAGAGTATTTTCCTAGCTGCCTTACAGCACCTTCTTTTGCTGTGCTGCATTTGTGGCTATGGCGGCATTCAGATTCTTGGCACAGCTTTCATTGTTGTTGTTGTTGTTATTGTTGTTTTTGTCTTTGTTATTGTTGTTTTTGTTAGTGATCTCTTTGGCATCAGCCTCGGCCTTGGCCGCCGCCTGCTTCTTCTTGTAGGACTTCTGATAAAAGTCATTGAACAGGAAGTAGAAGAAGACAGCATTGGGCAGGGTGAAGCAGACGGACCATCTCGGATAGCCGCAGTCGGTGTACAGCAGCTGCGTTTGATGAATGAAAGCGCAGCAGAACTGGATCTATAGGATGATAGACACAATCAGATCAGTTACAGTTCATAAATGAATCTTTATATATGTATATATCGCTTACCATTTGGAGGTTGGTGATGTACTTCTTCCACCAGAGATACTTTTGCATCTGGGGTCCGAAGGCCGAGAGGAAGTAGTAGGAGTACATGATGATGTGCACAAAGGAGTTGATCCAGCCAATGAAGGTGCCATGGCCGCCCGGATAGTATTTGGATGTGCCCCAGCTGATCATGGGCATGACCGTGTGATGGTAGACGTGCAGGAATGTCACCTGTCGATCGTTCTTGCGCAGCACAAAGAAGATCGTGTCCAGCAGCTCGGTGATCTTGGCCAGATAGTAAACGTAGACGACGCGCGCCTCACGGTACGCCTTGGGCGTGCGCGACCAATCGACCGGCTGACAGCGCCAGCTGTAATACTGCCAAATGACCACGCCCTCGTACACCATCCAGACGCTGAGCGCCACCTGGAAGAAGTTGTACACCAGCAGCGTGCGCTCCAGCTTGAAGGGTTTGCGGTCGCGCATAAAGCGCGGACCCCACGACAGCACAAAGTACAAATAGAGGCCCAGAATCGTGAGCAGAGGCAGTGGAGATTTGATCAGAAACCAGTCATTGGTGCGGGGATCTACAATGATAATCAAATTGATGACATGCACACAAACATACACGTAATATATATATATATAGTGAGTGAATGCTGCTCACCTGCCAGCTCGATGAACAGAAAGTTCCAATAGTCCGTTTGTGTTGCGTTGACGGCCGCCATTTTTAAATTCGTTTTATTGACTTCCTCTGCTGGTTGTTGTCTATCTCAGTATTGTTCTTGTTGTTGTTGTTGTTGGTGTCTTTGAAGTTGCTGCTTGTTTGTGTGAAATTTAAAAATCTGCTAAGCGCTCGAAGCGAACGTGTTTTCGTCCAGTGTTCTGCACGGCGCGCATTTCAAATCAAAAGTAAAGAATAATAAAAAATTCAGAAAAAAACAATTTAGTAAGAGTTTGCCTTTTGTTGCTATCAAGTTCATAAATATTTTAAGTTATGTTAATGGACGGCAACAAATGAAGAAGCAATCGTTGCTGAAACAATAGCACCAGCCAGCGACCAGTTGGTCTAACTAGATATCTGGTGCTGTGCTGCTGTTGTCGAGCCAGCATGACTTGGCCAAAACAAAAAAAAACACAGAAATACAGAAATAACATCATAATAATAATCACTCTCTTCTTCTCTTGTGGCAATGCAAATCGAGATACATTGATAGATAGCCAGCTGGATGCTGTGTGATGTCAACGCGTTGGGCGTGTCTATCAAACAAACGCAATTCTTTTATTTTATTACTATTTATTATTATTTTCTTTTTTTGGCCACAACAAATTGTCGAAAAAATCAGACTGGGCTGCTGCTGAAAGCTGTCGCCGTTTGCTTTGAACTGTTGTTGCTGTTGTTGTTGTTATGCTGCGTATGTGTGCATGTGTGTGTGTGTGTGTGTGTTGCTATGCAATGCAAAATTATCATGTAACCGGAGTAAGAGTAAATTATATTCATTATTATGAATTAAACAAGCGTAGAAAACAAATTGCTTCACAAGATCAACAAGTAATTGGGTGACGCAGCAACAACAACCATAACAAATATATATATATATGTATATATTTTTGTTTTCATTTTCTGTTGGCCATCTAGAGACCGCGATGCTCACGTGTGCGAAGCAGCAGCGAAACAGCTGTTAAACATAATTATCAACAGCAGCAACAGCAGCAGCAGCAGCAATAGCAGCAGCAGCAACAGCAGCAACAACAAATGTTAATAATAACTGTTAACTATGTTAGCTGCATTAAGTGGCTAGTTGAACTCCACAAAGGCCACGAAAGTCGTCGTCAAGCGGCTATAAAGTGGCTTTTTGGCTTTTTGGCGTCTGCGGCGCTTGGCTCAGTTCCGTGGTCAGTTTTTTTTTTTCACACCAATATTCTGAACAGCTCCGTCATAGTAAAGTTCGATCACTATACATATACATACATACATGTGTGTATCTATAAACATTGAAGGGCAATGTTGGCTAACAAGCCATAAGCCATAAGCATCAACTGGTTTGCTTTTGCTTTTGGCTTGGCTCATTTCCTGCACTTGTTTGCTTTTGTTGCTGTTGCTGTTGCTGCTGCTGTTGCTGTTGTTGCTGCAACAATTAACGCAGAACGAACCAGAAAATGAGCCGCGACCTAGCCAACAGATGTTAGGTGCTAAAAGGCAACTAAAGTCAAAACAAAACCAACAACAAAAACTAAAATTAACCAAAAAAAACCTATGCCCGCCTCGCGCATAGAATCGGGTTTTCAAATTATCAATTTTGAAAACTGCCAAAAGTCAAATAAACAAATTGACGCGCAAATGAACCATCAAATTTGCGCTTGGCTAATGAACATATGATGCCGCAGAGACCTCGGTTTTTTCCTCAACTCGGCTCGCTCGCTTTTCTGGAAGCACTTTGGTCAGCTCGGGGCCGCATTCTAAGCAACTGCTGCTCGAAGACTTCACATAAATCGCATTTCGCTGCGTTGGGCGTTGAAAGATTTTGTGGATTCGCCGCATTTCCACATGGCTAGTCATTTGTCAAAATGGGCTTGGGCTGGGCTTCAGCTTGGGCTTGGGCTTGGTCTTGGGCAGGCAGCAGTTGCTTCGGCTCTTCTTTGGCCCTGAGCTGAGCCTAAGGTGAGCAGCAAATTGTGTCAACAATTGTTAACAAACATTTCGTAAGAACCATGCGTCACATATTTAACTTAATTAGTCGGAGGTTCAACTAAAAGTTGAATGGACCTTGGCGTCAACCTATTGACACGCGTATTCCGTATATTTTGCATATGATTTGCATAATTATTAACTCAAAGTATTGTCTTTAAAGATTTTAAGCTCTTCATATATACATATAGGAATATCTTCATGTATATATACACTACAAATCCTGTTTTGTCTTTATTTTTTGTAAGTTCTACACATGTGCCACGTTTCTGAATAGAAATTTGAATATGTCTCAATGTTGATTGATTAACAAATACTGTTCATTAGACCATATTAGAATTCACACTTCATAAACCAAATGTGACTTGGCACGCATTCAAAAATGATTTCAAACCGTGGGCATTTGATGCTGAAGCTACTTCTTTAAATACTGGCCAACAAAACTTTGGTCAAACAACTTTCTAGCTGCCCAGGAAATTCCTGCTGAGACTTCCATAGGCCACGCGACGGCTACTTGATAATTTCTACTGTTTCGCCTGAATGCTATTTGATCTCAAATCTCTGATAAGCAAATCTTAAACAATCTGAATTCTATAAATCTTAAGTTCTGCAAGATCTCAAGCCTTGAAGCTCTTTTATTTTTGCTCTTGTGCCACACGACGGCTACTTGATATAAGCTCCTTTACGCTCCATCTCTAACTCTATTTAAGTACCACTGTCAATATCAGCTCCCGTTCACGTTATTTACTTAACAAGTATACGCAGTGTATACGCAGGTCGCCTACAACAAACTCGAAAGTCAATCCCTGACAGATCACAAGCAGATCACAAGCTCAACACGGGTATTACACGGCCGTTAGATGCTTAACAACACGAACTCTGAAAGATCTTAACGCTTCTATCGTACCACACTGCGGCTACTTGATAAATAAGTTCTCCATCTCTTCTTATCTACGATAAAAACTAAATTAATTATTGAAATCAATCATTTCCTTACATTTGAAAAATTCTCTGCAGGATGGAATTCTAATAAATTTGTTAGCTCTTCTTCTCTATTTATTAATCCTGAACAGGATAAGATCTCCAGTTGCATCTATTATATATCCTCTCCATATATATTATAATATATATCCTCTCCAAGAGGACCTCTAATCGATCACCACATTACACTGCGGCTCCTTGTTAACTGCATCCTGTGCCACACATCACATTATTCTTACAGCCTTTTGTTTTTTTCTCTTTTTTGAGAAAATCCACTTTAGATTTGCATATATAGCAATTGTCTATAAATGTATGTATGTATGTATGTTTAAGCACTGACAAATCCGAGCACAAGCACCTGTTGCAATCGTCTCGGTTGACAGTTGCCTTCTCCAAGACCCGTACACTTAATTTACAGCAACAACAACAACAACAGTGACTGCTCTTAATGCTAACACCATGACAACTGTGATTTTGTTTCTCTTATTTTTTTATCGTTTTTCTTGCTTTGTGTTTTTGCTGTTTTGTTTATAATTATTGGTAATGTTGGTATGTATATGTATATATATATTAAGGGAGAGAGACCTCTGCTGGCATCCGCTACCCACGAGACTTGTACGCGTACTGAACTGCTACGCCGATTTGTGCGCTGCTATGTATAAAAATTTCGTCTATACCTTAAAGATTTTGTTGTTGTTTTTATTTTCAAAGTTTAGCCGCTAGTTGTTTCTACTGGGCTAGCTGCTGCCAGTTGATGTTGCTGTTGCTGTTGCTGTTGCTGTAGCTGTTGCTGTTGCCGCTGGCAGTTGCTGTCGCTGCTGTTGCTGCTTCTGTTTGTTGTTGTTGTTGTTGTTGTTGGAGCTGCTGCTTAAATGTTCTTTTGTGTCGCTTCATTTGCTTGGAAGCTGCGTTTCATTGCGTCGACTGGTCTCGTTTGACTTTTCTATTGATCACACCATCTATTGATCATCATCATCATCATCGTCATCGCCATCATAATGACAAACAGCCTTTTGGCAAACAGCAACAGCTCGACGGCTTTATTGCTGTATGTCTTCACTGTCAGGTTTGCCGGTTATTGTATTTCAACTAGTTGTTGGCTGAATTTTAATTGATTTTGGCGCTTACGTTTGCAGCATTTGTATTATAATTAATGTTTACCATAATTGTTGCTATTGGCCAGTTGTACAATATGGTATTGGCCCGAAAGAGAGCAAGCAGCAAGAACTCGGAAACATATTGCGGTACATAATTAGAAATACATAAGCATGCATATATAGAAATGTAAAGAGAAAGAGGAGGAGAGAGAGAGAGAGAGAGAGAGAGAGAGAGAGAGAGAGAGAGAGAGAGAGAGAGGGAGGGTGTAAGAGAGCGAAGGGGATTCCCATATTAAAGTTTAGCTTAGTTAAGCTTGTGTCTTCTATTTCACTTTCTTTTGAAAAAAAAAAACTAACAACCTAAACTAGTTGTAAATTTAATGGTTTTTCTCAAACTCCTCCAGTTTATGTGAGGAAATAGAGCACAAAAAAAAAAAAAATAAATAAATAAATAAAATCTAAAAGAAAAATCTGTTATCTTGATGCGCTCAAGGCTAGCCATTGAGTTCCGTTGATTGAGGTTCCATTCAAGGAGACACTTGACCGGGTAAAATTCAAATAAAATATAAAAAACGAAACCAGTCGCATTATTATTATTATATCATTTTGATAATTTACATATGAATTCTTAGCGCCCAGAGGGCAATTCTTGAGCCGATCGCAATGTTATTTCCGGGTCGAATTTGAGGCTGCTAGCATCGTTTCACATCTCGTTGTTGTTATCTAGCTGAGGCTGGGGTCACTCAAAGTTGAAAACTGTGCTTAACTGTGTCACCGGCATATTGAACTTGACCCTGCCTGACCAACGCCAAAGGTGAGGTGATTTTTGCATTTTTTTATTTTTGCTTCGTCCACTTTGACTTGAACTGTTCAATGGTGGCCAAGATCGTCTGATTGGTGATAAGCCTGCTGGGCATGATAACAGCTGATGCGCTCGCCTATCAATCATTTATCCGCAGTCAAACAGAAGACACTTTGCAGCGTTGTCTTCCGGTCGTCAGAGCATTTCATTTGACTTGATTTGTCGCTGGCTTTTGTTTGTCGGCTAGCTCACATAACACATTTAATGGTATGCAAAGGTTTGTCGATTTGATGTTACCACCGGATCGACGAGGCGAACGCTGTGAGGGCCCCGCGAGACACGAGTCGCGCTGGCGGGTTATGCAAATTTTCTTCCGCAACCATTTACATACGAAAAAGAAACCGTTAACAATTATTATTGGTTATTAATTAATAATTGCGATTCTTATAGCAAAAAGAAAACAAAAAGTAATTAAAAACCAAAAAAAAAACCAAAGCACAGTCGCAATTAAATGTACATATTTTTGTGCCTCTTTGTTTGTCGATGATAGCTTTAATTTTGTTTTTGTTCAGTTCCAAATTTGACAGTGCCAAGTTCCTAGTAATTAAAAAGTATTTATATATATATACATTCATATCGAATTTTTAGACGTATCATTATTCATTAGCTATGGGCTTTCATTCTAGATATATGTATGTATATCTCATACCTTTACAGTCTACTTAACTTAACTGTCAGTACTTAAGCACTTCATGATTTAAGTGTTACATTAATTAATTAGTTAATTACAATAATTAAACATTTTTTATGGCATGCTTTGCATGGCAGGCCGTTGAGCATTTTAATTCGTAATAAAAAGCTTATTGTTTCGTTTGATTGCGGCTTTAAACATTTTCTTTGACTGCACAGCATTGTTAGCGCCATCTACAGTTCATTGTTTTATAGCGTGGCTTGAAAGCTCTCCAAATGTGACCAACTAATGTTAAGCTCGGCTTTGTGCTCGGTTTCGTTGCTTATGCTAACGCTTTGAAGCTCACTAGTCGAAATAATATTATTTTTTTAACTATTCGAAGTAGGAATGCAGCATAATTTGTAAGCTTGTTTTATTCTACTCAAAGTTGTCTTCGGTGAATGGCCTTAGGTGAAGTGAGATTTCAAGGGATGACAGTGCTAAATTGCGCTGAGCTAGCTCATTGATGCTGTAGGGCAAAGTGTATGAACGAATTGTTAAACAATTGTACTATGTGCTGTGAGGGATAAACAAAACGACATCTACATTTTCCAATGGGTTATTCAATATTTAATATGTAGTGTGGTAGGTGAGGGCCAAAAGCTCAGCTTGGCTATTCTCTGATGGCTCTGACATTGAGTTCTAGTTAGCAGATCGATACATGAACCCAGAGGCTATAATCAACATAGTAGCAGTAATCACTATGGTAGAAATAATAAAAAAAAACTTTATTATTTTTTTATGGCTCACCTAGTCTAGTAATTGTGCCACCTGAGGTTTGAATCAACTTGTTTATTGGTATAAAAGTGAATTAATTAAAATTGCTATAATTTGTAGCCCTTTAATACCCTGTAACACCTCTGGTGGAGTCAACGAAAATTCCCCTAAATAACAACTATAAAGCTATAAAGTCGGAATATATAAAAAAAGAAAGGGATTCCCTAAGCTCTTAAGAAGTTATGAGAGTTTAAGTGATTTTGCTTCGCAAAAAATTCTCTTGAAAGGGAAAGGTTCTAGTCTTATATAGTCCAAATGAGCAGAATTAAGATAAAGATTAGCATGATTTTAATTCTAGTTAAATTATTTACGTGACCTTGAACGCCCTTTTGTAGAGCCATTCAACTCCAGACAGAGTAAAAATACCCGTTTATATGTGCCCTACAATAAATTCATTTGCACATCTATTTGAATATGTAAACGTGCGTACATATATCCTAAGGCCAGTGTGCTACGTCGCGACGTTCCTACATTCTTATCATTAGCCCAGTTTAGTACCAAGAACCAATGTGGCGCAAATCAAACTTGTTTCAGAGCACGGAAATGCCCAATGAACGTATCTAACAAATTATAACGCCGTTTAATAAGCTAGCCTCAGCACATTTGCGGCTAATCAAAATCAGCCAAAATACCGTTGAGGCTCTGTGCGTGCCCTTGCCTAAACTGGTTTTACGCATTGAAAAAAGATTAGCTAAGAAAATAAAAATAAAAGTGGAATCCACTTCCGTTTCCTGATCGCGAGCAACTGCTTAAACGCCGATAAACCTACTTACAGTTAGGCAATTTTACTTATATGTATAGCAAACGTTTCGTTTCGTTTTCTCACTTAATTAATTGACGCTTAAATGTTTTCTTAATTCTAGTTGAATAACAGTTTGCTTGCTTTTTATTTTCATTGCTTTGCAAGAACTCAACTATGTCAAGTTCAAGCCAAAATCGACGATATATTCTTCGTCGCGCTTACGTTTAATTATTACTCGGAGCATATTCAGATGGCTAACCAAAAATCTGTTCAAGTTCAGACGCCGAGTCGGGGGCAACTCAAATGAAATAAACCGAACAAAAAAGATAATTATAAAATAAAATAAATTACCAAGAACATTTCCAGTTTGTGGCCCAACTATGATTTAAACATCGTTTACGATTCTGTCTTCATTTCGAATCCAAAGTCGAGGAGATTTTTTTACACACATCGTATGCATGGTATTTTGGGTTTCTCTCTCTCTCTCGCTCCCTCTCTCTCTCTCTCTCTCCCTCTATCTATCTGTCTTCTGTCATATATAACTTGTCCGGTTGTTGCTCCGCCGTGACGCCACGCCGCTGTACTTTGGCTGGCCTCTAAGCGAGCGGACTGAGGGGAGCCATACGTGGGGTACGTGCACAAAACTTACGTTGATTCAGACTGTGTGGCATTTGTAAGCGAACGCATATTTGGCCAACTGATTAGCGGACGGTGCCCAGCACATGGCCAACACAAGACGCTTGGGTACTTGGCCAAATAAGTGAGCGTCCGATGAGTTGGCCATCAATGGACTCGTATGGATTTTGTGTGTGGATTTCATGTGTATTTTCGTGTAGATCTTGTGGATTTGGCCTTTCAAATGATGATGTACAGCTTCTGCTACTGATTCTTTGGCCCATGCCGTTTGCCTGAGGTGTTGCCCAACTAACTGCTCAGCTTGTGCTATCAATTAGTAACAAAATAAATGGACATAGGCCAATAGAGCTAACGATTTTCAGATGCTCTGTAAGCTAAATGTATCCATTGTGAATTCATTTAGGAGACTTTTAACAATTTATTTTTAATTTTTTTTTTGTGTTTTTCTTTATGATTAAAATTTTATTTAAATTGAAAATTGTAATCTTGTATAAAAAATGCTCGTATTATTATAAAAATCAGAATAATAACAATCATAATTAATATAACTCAAGTCCTAGATATATCATAAGTTATCTATCAGCTCTATCGGCTTCTTAACACCCTCTACTTCAAGTACTTCAAGAATACTTTCACTTAGACCTCACACAAAGTCATAAGCTTTCATATAAATACCTTAGCCAGCAAAATAAATTGTTTACTTAGCGCATTGTGTCAAATTGTGGCTATGTTTGCTTCAAGCTATAAAAAAAAAAAAAAAAAAAAAAAAAAAAAAAAAATTACACCGACTGTTGTATTTTTATGTACATACATATGTACACGAAACTATTTCCCGATCTCAAAATCTTGGTGTACAAATTATTCAATCACTCCTTAATAA